AAATCTATCCTTAAAAAGATAAATAATTAGATTATCTTCTTAAAATTTTATTTAGTAGACACCAAATAAAAATAATTATCTAAAACTTATGCTATTTTATGATAAGTATATTTAATTTAATTAAAATTAATGGGTAACGAATAAATAAAACCAAGTATTGCTCATTCAACTGAATGGACATTTATTAGAGAAATCAAATCACATCCTTTATTTGGACATATCAAAGTATATAAAGGACCCTCTGATTAATTACAATGTTTAAAGACTGTTATTGTGGAAGAGTCCTAATATAAAGATCAAATGGATTCCCTTAAAAAAATAATTGTAAAGGATGTCTTAACATAAAACTAACCAAGTTGTTCTTCATTAGTTTGTGTCAATCGTTTAGAAACATAAAAACAAGAAGAATTCTGTTCTAATTATGTCAAAATATATTTAACAGCCGATTATTCAGATTAACCAATTCAATAAATTAAAGATGTTAAATTATTTATGCTAGATATAATATAAGCACTCTAAGTAATGGATTAGAAAGGTGTTAATAATTGTCAATTTTGTCCTGCCAAAATTCTTTAATTTGGAGATCGAGTTAAAGTTGTTAATACATAATTATTTACCGAAATTTCTGATTATGAATAACTTTATTTTAATGAAGTTTCTAAAGATGATTGGATGATTGCACCAGAGGTAATGCATTCTTTGAAAGTTAATTGTCCTCCTTCATTCAACAGTGAATTAGCTGTTATTTTTAATTTTGGAATCATGATGATAAATTTATTAACTGGAATTCATCCAAAAGATGCATAAATTTATGATTATAAGAATTTAACAATCAATGATAATTTGTCATCCTATTTACATTCTATTGATTAATTACAAATACCATGTAAAATTATATAAATATATTTAATTTTAGGTCATATTAAATAATTAATCCAAGATTGTGTTAATGTTAAATCAACTCTAAGACCAACTTTTAAATTAATTACTAATTTATTAAGATAAGTTGAAATTCCACTTCAAGTTTCGTAAATAAAAAATGAAGATGTTCCAACCAATTAAATATTCAATCCTTGTTATGAAGATGTTAAAAAAGTCTTAAGTGAATCTCATGTTAATAAGAATCTTAATTTTCATAATGAATCCCCATAAAAGATTGAAAAATAAGATTTTATGACTGATACCCAATAATCAGCATAATTTAGAAAATCTAAATAAATTTATAATTTAGAAAATACTTATAATTCTAGAGCCTCTATCTAATAAAAGTAACACACCTCCAATAAAGTTAAGACTTAAGTAAAGGTATCAAAAGTAAAGAGTCCAAACAAAAAGCCGAAACCAATTAGGGCTAATGGTAATCACCCAAAATGATATTATTATATAACTATTTTATTTTCAAATTTTATTTGGCTTTCAACTCAAATGTCTGATTATTAGATCAAATATTAAGAAATCAAAGGAAGCTTAACACTTCTCTTGCAATAAAATAATATGCTCAAGTAATAACTAAAGGAAGCCTTTGAAGAAGTTTAAGAAAAGTAATAACTAAAAGAAGAATGGGCATTGGAAGTCTAAAGAGTTCAAGAAACTATTTATTAATTGTCTTATGACAACTAAAGTAACAATGAAATTTATAATAGATTTCTAGTAAGAAAATGAGTAATTATTGAGGGATTGTTAAGAGTCTTCATATCTAATTGAATAATAAATTGATTAGATAACAAATCTTAAAGATTAAAATGAAAAACTTCTAGTTTAATTAGATTAGAGCAGACAATCAAATTTATAAAAGGAAATCACTATAAAATAATAGAAAGATGAATTTAATAAGAAATTAGAATTATAGTAATCAAATCATTTTTAAGAAATAAAAAAATTATAAGGGATCATAGACAATTAAAGCGGATTAATATAATCTTATGAAAAATTAAATGAAATTGAAAAGCTCGACACTTAAAATTCATTCTATTAATAACAAATGGCAGTTGAGGATTAAATGTTAGAATTGAAAAATAGAAACATTATTTTAACAAATAAAATAACAGAAGAGAAGTAAAAGTATGATTAATTATTTGAATAACATAAAGATGAAGTTCTAAAATTATAAGGTGTAATTAAAGATTAAAAAGAATTAATTTCATAATATGAGAGAATAATTGAAAGAGACAAAAAGTAAATGTAACCTTAATCTTATCCTTAAAATACATCTTATATAGAATCATAAATAATACCATAATAATAATAATAATTGTAATTGCAACAATACTAATAATAATAGTAATAATACTAATAATACTAATAATAATAATACTTATAATAATAATAATAGTAATAATAATACTAATAATAATAATAATAATAATAATAATAATAATAATAATAATAATAATAATAATAATAATAATAATAATAATAATAATAATAATAATAATAGTAATAAATTTATTCTTCTAAATTATAATACCAAAAATATATTTAACCGTCATTATCTATCCAAACCTAACCTTTACATACATAACCTTCATCTTCCTAACCTATGTATACTCAACCTATGAATACAAACATAATTTATACTTAACCTGTTTCCCATAGATAACCAAAAACATTTTTTACTAATAATAAAATTAATCATTAATTGAAATAATAATAATAAAAGGAAACAAAAAACCAAAGAGAATATCATATACCAAAAAGTAGCTTTCATTTAGATGATGATGACTATTAAAAGTCAGGTCCAGAGTTTCAGGAAACATTTTTATATAAATTTTAAAATGTTATTGGAAGAATGGAAGATAAACTATAAAAAATGTAGAATGAACTTAATAGTTCAGATGTTTCTGACAAACCAAGAAAATTAAAATGATTAAATTTATACATTGTTAATTTTTTTGCCAATCACCAAGGAAATTACTCTTCTTATTATGCAAATGTTACTTATTTTTTTTATGTTTCTACTTTTATATATATAAATAAATACCTGCTTGATTTTTTAATATTCCAGGCTATTTTTATACTTCATCTACACTGAATTACATAATTGGCTATTAAGGTTGAATCTTTATCTAATTAGTTTAAGGTAAAGGACTACTATTAATATAATTCTTAAAATTATTTATAAGTTTACTACTGTATTTTAAAATCCAAAACTTTATTAAGGAAGTGATTAACTTAATGGTTATAATTATTAATTTTATGTTATGGCTTAAAATTAAGGTGGAGATTATAAATATTGTTATTATTCTTATTGTAATTATTGTTCTTATTACAATTAAGCAAATTAATCTTTATTTTATTACATTTGTATTCCTATTTATTATTATAATTGATGATTCTACTAACTTAATCCTTATTTCTACATTCTTATTTTACTAAGTTCTTCATTAGTGACTCTATATTGCTCTTAAAGATTTTACAACATAAGTTTTAAACTAGAAATCAATCATTTATTTACTTATCATTTAAAATTTACATTTATTTTAAATCCTCTTATTTTTCTAGTAAAATACTTTAATAAAGTTAATTTAATTAATTCTGCATTTGATAAACTTGTTAAGTTGAGTCATTAACTTATTAACGTGCTTAAATAATTCCATTTTAATCATATCCAGGTATCATACTTACATTTGTAGGAATATTTAAGGGTTAGATAATTGATTGTACTTATTGAACATTCTAAATAGGTTATATTCCAATATTTGCATTTGATCCTAATCTTGGTCTAGGTTAATTGAGTAGATTTGAATTAGAACCAAATCTTTATTGAGGAATTAAGTTTTAATTTGAACCTAATCTACCTCCATTAGGGTTACTTGAGAATCTTCTAGCAATTTATAATAAAGAATCTGGTAAAGTTATTGGTAAAGGGTATTTAAATTTAGAACACAATTACACCAAATGTAAAGCAACTATGAATTCTCCTTTATTTAAATGACCCTTTTCTCCTATATCACAAAGATTCCATAATTCTTTTAATTAATCTAAACTCAATCCAGATTTAGAAAATAAAGCTCTTGCTTGCATACCCTAAATTATTTAAGTGCCTTCTTAATCTATAGTTAGAAAAAAATTCTCATATTTTTGCAATTATTCAATTGAAATATCATAATTAGGTGGTTAGAAGCCTTGAAGCTAAGGTAAAGGACAGGGGATATTTTTTGTAAGTAATTTCTCATCTGGATGATAACCATTTTAGGCTAATGCAATCAATTTAAGCGCAGCAAAAAATTCATCTTTAGTGAATGACTGTCCATTAGATGATGTAATTTACCAAATAGCCTATAATAATAATGTAGTAAAGTACTCCTAAAATCTATTAATTCAAACCACTTGCTTTAAAGAAATTGATCACCATATCTTAACCAAGAATTCCTTAACCCTTTTAGATTTAACTTATAAATATTTACAGTCTAATCGCAATTAGTAAAGAAATATTGGAAGGCGAGCAATTCATCTTAAGTATATTAAATTGACATTTGTTATATAAAAAAATTAATAAATTCAATTATTTCTTTTTAAGGAATACCTACATTTATAGAGTAAATAATCTAAACTAAAAAAAATTATTTTACATTTCTTAGTAAATCTTAACTTTTCGATCCTATCAATGAGTTGATTTTCTGAACTTATTTTGAATATTAATTAACAAATAATTTAAATGTATTTAAATTTTCAATCAGAAATAGATTAATAATATGAACCATATCTGGATATAGATATAAGAGTAAAATTTATAGAGATTTCTCTTCTCTAGAAATATCTATACTTTTATTAAATTTGGTTATAATATTATTTTATTTATTTATTTTACTACAGTATATTGTAAACTATGTGAGTACGTTTTTTGTATATTAATATATCAAATCTATATTTATAAATATTTTGTACGTATTGTTAGTTTTTAGGGTAATACATTACGAGACATAAAACAAAGAGAATAATATACATATTATAAATGTTGATATATTATTTACATGTAATAATAATTATGAAATTTAAGATCACACAATAAAATTAGATAAAAAATAATCCTAAAATTTTTTAGTTTCTAACATATTTAAGTTGTTGTTATGCCCACAATTAATTGTTATTAAATGACCAAAGATATTTTATTTTTATTTTTATTTTTTTCTTTTTCTTAATTCTTACACTTATTAAGTTTATTAGAAACTTTTAATAATTTGATAAATGTGCTCTATGATTACTTCTACATGATTAGAAAGTTGATTGTTAAGATTCTGTTAATTAGAATAATGTTGTTTTAAAAGTATTTGAATTCTTTTAATAATTGATTTGATTGTTTAAAAGGAATTTTAATCGAACATAAAGCAACTACCAAAAAATAATGCAATTTTTTCTGGTGTAGGTTTTGAATCCATTACTTTAAAAATATCATTATTACTATACTCAATTAATTAAAGCTGTTTTTTTGATTCTTAATAAAAATGTTAATTTTCTTATGATAATTAATTATTATTTTGTTATTCATTAAAATTGATAAACATTTGTAAAGACTAACTCAAACTAACTGTTTAATTTTCAGATAGTATTTATTTAAAAAAGAAATCCATATATTCTATAAATATAATTTAGTAATACATTTAGATTCTTTATTAAAGTATGAATGATAAAGAGAGTATGTTTAATTAGTGAAATATTATCTAACCAAACTTGTTTGCAATTATGCGATATAAGGGATTATTTCATCAACTGCATCTTGGATTATCAATTTAGGCCCTTTAAAATTATAAAAAGATAAATAATTTGGATTATCCCAGTTTACAATACAATTTAGTAGAAATCTGAGAATTGAAGAATTAAACCTATATTCTAATAACATAAATTACATTGCAGCTGCAATTTAACCTAAAGAAGAGAAGGTTCTATCTGCAATTAAAAAAGATAAATTAAGTTTTTATGCTATTTCTGATGCAAACATTCCTCCCAAAGAGAGACCATGTATACCAAGAGTTTTTATCTAAAATTTATTTTGAAAGTATTAAGCAACAAATATACCACATTCAATTATATTTTCTGTAGTTAGTGCTCCAGTACTTTAACCATATTTACAATAATTCCATAATATTAAATTAATCTATAATTTATTATAAATTTTGAACCAAGTACACTAAATATTAGAGATTGATATACATTAATATATTGATATTCATAATATCCAGCATTTGGATTACAAAATAATACTGTTGGACAATTTGATTGATTATTTACTATATGTATACAATCAATTAAGTTATTTTTATATTTAATTATATGTCTAGAAGCATTTGGATTGAGTAATAGTATCTCTAATCTACACCATTCTAAAGTTCCAAATAATATTTATTATTTAAAGGGTTTCATAATATATTTGATTTGTGCAGATTAATCCATATAGGCATTAAGAAATTGTAAAATTTTTATTGTTTCATTTTTAATGATTTGTTAATTTTATTAAGATTCTAAAACTTCAATATAGTTAGATAATAAATTTAAATAATTTAGTTACTATTAATTCAATTATTCTTCCATTTATTAGTATATTTTTTATTAGACTAAAAAGAAATTTTTAGCTTTTTAAAATTGGTATTATGAGCTATGATCATCCAAATATCTGAAGAATTTAAGTTGCTATCTTGTTTCATATATTTTGTCTTCGTTTAAGTTGAGTAAAAAATTGTACTTATAAAATAATTAGTATGAACCTGGAAATGCCATCAATCTACAAATAAATCTTATGATAAAGTAAAAGACAAGGATAAATATGACACAGTATATTGAGTCTAGGATATAATAAAGTGTGATGACAACCAAGCTAATGATTAAGGATGATAGAAAATTGATGTTCATTAATTATATTTTATGTACTATAATAATCATTATCTATATATTAAGTACGGGTTAAACACTTCGGGTACAATGAATAGACCTGCACCTAAATAACTTAATATGGTATTCCTGGTTACTTTTAATAATGATGGAGTGACTGAATAATTAAATATTTTACTTCTTGCTGTTAAACCTGCTGTAGTCAAGGTTGTCAAACACAATAATACAAATCTTGTGTTTACACTTGCTTTATCTAAAAGATATTGCTTCTTGAGAGCTTTTTATACTAGAAATGTATATTTACATGTAATGCAATTAGGAAGTTGATCAAAGAATTCAGTGGTAGCTTGATAGGTTTAGCAAACTTATTATTAAGTATCAGCCTTGAGAATATATTGGAAAGTATACTAAGGAATTCTATTCGGACTCTTAATTTTGCATATGTGTATATGTATCTAATAAAAATAATTATGTAGAAACCGGAATTGCAGAGAATTTTTAAGGACCTTGCTGCAAAAGTGCCAAATGAATAAAAAGAGAAAGCAGCTATGGAATTATAGAGTGTCTACTACAAATACATTCAATAGAGTGATGAATTGTTCAATAAAATTTAGAAACTTATAAATAGTTCTGAGATTCATGAAAAATTTGGTAATGATGATCAATTATAAAAATAATAGGAGGTATATTAGCATTAGATCAATTAACAACTACTGTATAAGAGGCTCAAGTGTTAACATTTGTAAATAAGTTTATTCCCAATGTATCAGGTTAATTTATCTATAATGATGAAAAATTTTTAAGGAAGAGTGCTGAAGTCTTTGGTAAATTACTCAGATTAGGTGGAACAAAAATAGCACAAGTAGTAGATTTACATTTTGCAGAAGCATAAAAATAATTGAGAAATGAAAAATATAAATTAGCTGGTGTATTATGTTTAAAAGAAATTTTGAATGAAGCAGCTTCAATCACTTTTAATAAACTATTTTAAACTATGCAAACAGATAGAAATTTTACACTAATTCATGGAGCCATTAGATCAAAATAATAATCATTAAGAGAAGCAGCCTTAGATTTATTTAGTGAAATTGTAAAATAAATTGCATAAAGAGAATGTATTAAATTATTATGAAAAGATAATAGAATCATATCAAGATTACTTAGTCAAAATCTATATTGATGAAATAGAATCCAAAAAAAAATCAAAAGAAGAAGAATACATTCATGGTAATATTATGATGATCAAAATTCTTCTAACTTATGCTAAATAAGATGTAATTTATAATTTATATTGAATATAGGTCTTTTCTTAAAATTAAATTTTTGATTAAGGAGAATATGTTCTATCTAAAAAGGATCATAAATCAGCAATTATTAATAAGGCTGTGATAGAAACCTTGCCTATTTTAGCCAAACATGCTAAACATCATGCTGTCTAGGAATTTATGGAATAAAGCATATCATTTCTATTATAATAAACTATGTAAGCCAGATCTGTGAAAGACAAAGGTTTGCCTTATATGACTTTAGCTATGCTCATTTCATTTTTAAATGAGAATATGCTTCAAGATCTCATTAAAAAAGTGATATTGCATATTCGATAAGAATTATTACAAAAGAACTTTTGTGTAGAAATGATTAACTGTTTATAAGTGATATTTTAGAATTATACAAGGAAATTTGCAGAATTTACATCAGTTGATGTCCTAGTAGATGTATCAATATTTCATATTCATTTAAGTAAATACTCTTAAATGGTTTGCATCCTCAATCAGTCTAATTTCTAAATTAATTATGCAGATCACAACCCAGATAATCTGAATACATTTAATAAAAGCTTTTATAAACAATTGCAGCAATTCTTTTAAAAAAAATCATTAATTTTGTAAATTCTAAATAATAGATTGATAACAGCATCTTGAATGATTTTTAAGGATATTTATAAAAAGCAATAACTACAACAGAATTTAGATCTCCAGAGGCTATTGCTAATGCAATTCAAACACTTAGCACTTTTTCATTTGATTTATAAGATAGTCTTGCAATTTTTGTTAAAGATGCTGTTTTACCTAATCTTGCTAATTCTAATCCAATTATAAGAAAAGCTACTGCAAAAGCAGGATGTCTATTATATATAAAGAAAGGGAGATCAACAGGATAATAAATGATCTCTAAGAATGTTATGTATGAAATACTAGATAAATTTATGAATGTTGCCATTTCAGATACTGAATAAGATATAAGGTAAACAATGCTTGCATCTTTAAATGAAAATTTTGATCCATATTTAAATTCTCCTAATAATTTGAGAAAATTATTTTTATGCATGAATGATCCAATTCCAGAAGTGTAAGAAATTGCTTTAACAATTCTTTGTCGTTTATCCATTTTAAATCCATCAGAAATTATACCATTTCTTAAAAAGACTCTATTTGAATATCTTTAAACTCTTACATTTGATAGTAATCAACCTGAAAAGCAAACCATAAATAAATTATACTTATTAACATCATTAATAAAACATGGAAGAACAATTGTTTAACCATATACCAGTAATATAGCTAAAGTAATTTAATAACATCTAAAGAATCCAAATACTAGTGCTATAGTTACATCATATTTATTATAGGCATTTGCTTAATTAACAGAAACTGCAAATTAAGAAATACTAGTTAATTTAAAGGAAGTTTTTGATATCATTATAACAGCAATGTAAGATAAGAGTTCAACTCTTAAAAGAGAAGCTGCTGTCAAATCTTTAAATTTAATTATTAAAAATACAGGATTTGTTGTACTTCCTTATTATCGTTTTCCTAATTTAATGGATGTTATTTTTTAATTAATTAGAACTGAAACTATTCCAGATATGAGATAAGAATGTTTGAAATTATTAGGTAATTTAGGAGCTGTAGATTCATTCATATACAAAAGTGTTTAAGGAGTACCAACAAAATAAAAATTCAAGTTTCTTAAAAATTATTAAAATGCTCTTAATTCTGTTTCATCAAGTGAATTAATGAATGAAGTAAGAGGATATAGTGAAGATTTGATTCTAATAGGTAATTTTAGTACAACAATGTTTTTGCATTTAGGAAAATTGAAAATGTAAACTGATTAAGATACATTATTATATTAAAATAGTGGTGCATAAATAATTAAATCAACAACATTGGATGCTCAATCTCATTATCATTAAGCTATAAATTCTTAAGATATTGAAGAACTATTTTAATAAGTTCCTGTTATATAACTTAATGATATTGATTATTATTCAAAAGTAACACTAAAGACTCTATTGTAAATTTTACTAGATCCATCTTTATCAAATAATCATGAATTAGCACTCGAAACCATTATGTGGATAATAGGTACACTAAAAGCAAAGACAGCAAGTTATTTGAATTATCTAATACCAGTTTTTGCTCGTTTATTATAAAGAAATGAAGAAATGAGAGAGAAAGTTTTGACATCATTGTAAAAAGTAATTCATTTATGTGGAATATAATTCAATCCTTAATATATTGATTAAGTGATTGCTTGTGTAATGCTATTTTGTTAGGGATAAGAGTCATCAAAGTTAGTTTTGATAGGTTTAGAAATTATGGAAACATTGATTAAAAGTAGTAAGTAGCATTTAAGACATAAAGTGGAACCATTAGTTAGATTAATAAATTAAGAAATAAGTTAATTTGAGGAAGAAAAAGAATTAGTTCGTAAAGGAATAAAAATTTATATATTATTAGAGAATTTGTTAGATTCTTAATTACATATGTTTATACCATTTATGTGTAAATTGTTGAGTAAAGAAGTTTCAAGTGTTTTATTGGAAGTTAGAAAAGATATAATAAATTTATTTGTATCTTTGTCTAGAAAATGTCCAACTACAGTATAATATTTATCATTAATTGTTAATTCATTGTTGAACCTAGTGGAATTAAGTGCAAAAACATAATAATAATTAGAAATGCATTAGACAGTATTAAATTGTATTGTCAATTTAATCTTATAACATAAGAATCTTATGCTTGTTTATTTACCAATGATTCATTTACAAGTATAGAAATATAAGATACATCATTAACAATATTAAAAATTAGTTGAAATCTTTTTGATGTATGGTAATCTAGAAGATTTAAACAATCTTTTAGATGAAGATTGTAAAGCTATTGAGTAATTATTTCCATCTTAAATTACTTCATATTATTCAATTGAACCAAATGCACCTATGTACAAAAAGATAGAGCCTGATGATTTGGTGGCTAAATTTGATACTGAACAAAGAAAATTAAAGGAAGAATGGTTAGAGTGGATGCGTAATACAAGTGTAGAATTATTGAAATTATCTCCATTTCTTGTATTGAGTCCATGCTCATCAATAGCAGAGATGTATTAAACTTTAGCATATGAATTATTTAATATTGCATTCGATTCAGCTTGGTATTTTCTGAATGATAAACACAAAGAATTAATGGTTCAATATTTAGTTAGAGTTATTAAGGCAGAAAATATTCCCCTTTAGATATCATAAACTATTTTAAATTTAGCAGAATTCATGTAGCATGATAAAGAAGGATTACAAATTGATATTAGTTCTTTAGGAGAATTAGCTGAAAAATGTATGGCTTATGCAAAGGCTCTCTATTATAGAGAACATGAATTTGAAACTGCCAGCTTAAAAGCAATTCAATCATTAATATCTCTTTATACAAATTTAGGATTATAAGAATCTGCCAATGGTTTATTAACTTATGCTAAATAATCTTTAAAAATTTAAGTTTAAAATACAGATTACGAAAGATTAAAAAAATGGGATGAAGCCTTATAAGAATATAGACAATAATAATTAAAGTATGAAAATGATTAAAGAATGGACTTAGCTATTAAATTAGTAGTTCCTAAGATGAGATGTTTAAATGCATTAATGTAATGGTAAACTCTGATTAGTTAAGCAGAAGAGATATTTAGAAGCAATGAAGATGCTAAATAAAAGGAAATTGCTCATTTAGCTGCAAATGCTGCTAT